TGAAGTCTATATAATAATAATATTATATTTTTCAATTCCCCGCTATCTCTTGTTTTCCTGTTACCAGAAATGCTATGAACATACCACTCTTCAAATTGGTATCTTGCTGCTTTGGGGGAAGTAAAATTTGGTTCTTATCCAAAAAGACTGAAGTCTTAAATTTAAAATTGAAAACATACTAAAAATGATAGAAGAAATTTTAGGAGAATGCTTGTCCGAAGGGTGGGAAAGGATTATTTAAATCAATTTTTATAAGCAATCCATAAGGAAATAAATAAATGCATTGATTGATGGATTGATTTTGTCCTCTGTATTGCATCTAGTTGACACTTAGTTCTCTTGCTTTATATTCATGGTCTAAATTAAATCTTGTGACTCTTTCAGGCTTGTTCTGAGTTCAGTCTCTGACTATTTTGCGGCCATGTTTACAAGTGATGTTTGCGAAGCCAAGCAAGAGGAGATCAAGATGGAAGGCATAGACCCCAATGCCCTCTGGGACCTTGTCCAATTTGCATATACAGGTACAGTAGAATAACATCACATGGATGTGTATGAATTTTAGCTCATCTTCCTTGAGTACGGATTAAAGCTTTAAAAAAAAAAAAAACTATCCTGCGTCTTTTTTTTTTTCCACTTGAAGACTGTCTAATGGAGAAAAATAAGACTAATTTTTCATTTGTTGCTGAAATCTTGAATGTCTGTGTGTATACATGTATACCACTCCCTACCACAAAGAATGTGAACAGGCTTTTGAATGAATAAAATAAATAGTTGGTAGAATGAGCTCAGAAGAGGAGCAGGTAGGACATAAATTATTAAATAATAATAATTTGTTTATGTCCATACTTGTGCAGAACTTTACAAACAGAAAGAGATTCTAATTGTCTTTCTTTTCAGAAATAAGGGTTCAAATATTTTTTTTTTCCTTGTAATGTGTTATTTTAATGTTAAAACTTTCATAGAATATTTAATGTGTACTTGACAAACTTACCTGAAAGGGATGATAAAAATACTTAGAGTTGTGAAAATGACTAGTTTTTTAAGGTTTTGTTGTTTTTGCTAATTGACTATTTTGACTTTTTTTATTGGTCTTTGCACCATATTACATTTAATGCATTCAAATAATTTTGCCAACTTAGAAAATATTTGTTGAGGGGCCGGCCCGGTGGCACACTCACTTGAGTGCGGTGCTTGGGAGTGTGGCGGTGCTCTCGCCGAGGGTTCGGATCCCATATAGAGACCAGTCCGCTCACTGGCTGAGCGCGGTGCGGGCGTGACACCGAGGGTTGCAATCCCATTACCGGTCATGGAAAAAAGACAAAAAAAAAAAAAGAAAAGAAAATATTTGTTGAATGTTGCCCACCATACATTAGCTGTATCTCTAGAGAAAAAAAAAAAAAAAAACTAATAAATAAGCAATGTCTTTTCACTCCAGAAGCTCATCGTCCAGTGGAGAGAAGAGTTAGATGATGAAATAAATATGTTATAATTCAAAATGCTAAGAGGGAATTAGAAGGCAGAAACCATGTTTTTCAGAGCATTATGAGGGCTTACATTCACTTAAAATATTTTAATAACTTTTCAAGATTATTAAGAGGATAGGAGACATAATAAAATCTTGTGAGAGAAGTAAAGATGGATAGTATGGATTGATGGTTTGTTTGATGTAACATTTGTTTAGAAATGGCATGTCGTTATTTGACTGGAATTCTTGATTATGGTGTGAGGTAAGGAGAGAAACGCAGGCTTGGGCCTGATAATCAAAGTAGCAAGACCCCAATTTAAAGAGTGGTATGTTCACAGCATTTATGGTAACAGGAAAACAAGAGATGGTGTTGTAAAGATCAGCCACTGGAAGCAAAAGGCCCCAGAACTGGTGGGTATCTGTCCTCATTGAGGATTTGACTAATCACAGGGAGGGATTTGCTGCCACTAACATAACACTTGTAAAAGGATCTNGTGCGGGCGACACCAAGCCAAGGGTTGCAATCCCCTTACCGGTCACACACACACAAAAAAAGAGGGTCCTCAGAAGAAAGGGAAGCAGGACAGGGAAGAGGAAGGAGTGAATCAAGGATGGAACCTTGTTTGTCTATATCTCCCCAGAAGCTGCCTGAGGAGTTACACCCTGAAGTAAGGGGGCCACATTTTATACCCTGTTTCTGTCAGCCATTGCCATTGAGTCCACCCTCAGGTTGAGAGTTGGGGGAGGTTGTGGTGAATGGAAGATGAAGTGAGAATTTCAGGACTACATTAACCCCCAGGGAATAAGGCAGCTCCTGTTGGGCCAAGTGCGGTACTTCAGAAAAGGGGTATCCTGCTGCTGTCAGGTGCCTGACATCACTGCTACTGGGGGCTGGGTAGGTCACATAAACAGTACACCAACAAATGCCAATACGAAGGAAAGATGTATTTCATGTCATATTTAATTTTGGCAATGAAGTAGAAGAAAATGTAATGTTGATTTCATCANGGATAGTATGGATTGATGGTTTGTTTGATGTAACATTTGTTTAGAAATGGCATGTCGTTATTTGACTGGAATTCTTGATTATGGTGTGAGGTAAGGAGAGAAACGCAGGCTTGGGCCTGATAATCAAAGTAGCAAGACCCCAATTTAAAGAGTGGTATGTTCACAGCATTTATGGTAACAGGAAAACAAGAGATGGTGTTGTAAAGATCAGCCACTGGAAGCAAAAGGCCCCAGAACTGGTGGGTATCTGTCCTCATTGAGGATTTGACTAATCACAGGGAGGGATTTGCTGCCACTAACATAACACTTGTAAAAGGATCTTCTTGGAAAGGAAAACTGCCCATGCTCTAGCTGCTGAATCTCAAAGGAGCAATGTGATGGAAAGAGTTAGACATTTTATGGCCTCAGTAATTTTTAAATAATATTTTGACAAAGCAAAAACTGCACTAGACAAAATTAAGCAAGTAAACAAGACTTTATTCAAGGCTATTGCAATAGAGAAGAGACACTAGAACTCAGTCTGAACTTAATTCTGCTGAAATAAAAGATGGAAGGATTTTAAGTGCTAGGGTGCGAGGAAGAATCCAGGTCATCTGTGCTGGCTAATTGGTTTTAAAAAGGAAAGGTAAACTTTCTTGTATCTTTGTGACAGGGGGTAGTTTTAAAACTTAAAGCAGTGTTCACCAATGTTAGACTTCTACCCTCCCACAGAAACTGGCAGATAGGGGAGCTATCTCCCTTAATATTTGTATTTGAAAGATACGGTGTCCATGTCTTTGTGAAAAATATTACTGTGCTCTAAAACTGGCAAGGGACTTTTAAAAAGAATAAGAACTCAAAGGGGAAGAGAAAAAAATGTGCAATTCTAAGTTTTATAAAGTGTATGCGCTAAGAAAGAGTGAGACCTACAGTAAGAAAGAAGCCTGTTTATAGTTTAGTCAAACTGAAGGGAATATTAAGGTCATCTTGATCAGTTTCAATCTGCATACAACCTGAAACAGTGATATAAAGGAGCATTCGCCTGTGAGCCAAGAGATAGCAAACATAATCACATTATTGCTTCCTGGAGTGGGAAGCATCATGAAGCTAACATTTTAGTGATCCTTCCAGCAACAGAAAGGCATAGATCTAACCGTTCCAGTCTGCATGGCCTGACAGCCTTGCATTCGTTGTGTGCAAAACTAGGTCAAAAGAGACACTCAGCATCCTACTGCACAAAGTTGGAAGGTGTTTCAAAGCTCCCTGCTGAATATAATGACCCAGATTTGGCTCTTCTTTGTAGAGGGCAGATAGGATATAAAGCAGCCTCTCAGTTGCCACTGCCACTTTGGACTTTGATCCAATACCCGTATCTCCCTGGTGCTTAATAAATTTCCAAGTGAGTTTATAGAAATACAATTATGTTAGGCAAGCAAATAATTTAAATGGTTTTATTGGGTATGACATAAAACGTGTGCCTGTTTTGGGTTTTTTTT